CCTAAGAGGTGGAAAGAACCCAACGGAACAGGATGCAGGTCTTGACATCTCTGATACTCACTGCTTGGCACAAGTGCTGAAAGAGGGGAGTACCACACCATCTGTGTGTGCTTCCACTAGGGACCCCACTCAACTCCTCAACATTCACACCCACATTCCTCCCGTGCTTCTGGGCTTGACAGAACTCCAAACCTCCTCTGATTTTTTGCATTAGTCCTATCTTAGGAGCTGTGATTTATCTTCTTCACTCTCTACCTATCTGCTTTTATCTCTCGAGGATTCTTCATGATTTCTGGTCCTATCGGAGCATTCCCCCTTATACTACAGTACTCATATTTGTAAACAATGTGCAAGCATTTTTCTATCCTATGTTACACATAACCCATTTGAACATGATGAACTTGGCAGGTACACTCAGGAAACAGCTTCAATCTTCTCTTACAACTGTCTGCAAGCATTTCTGTCAAAGCTCCTTTTCTGACCCTTGAACAATATCTCAGGCAAAACAATAGCTTTTCATTAACTCTGGACTATTACAGTAGTCCAAACTTCTATTTTTCACCCAGTTCAAAGCCCCTCTAACTCCCAGCTGCTGCCTGACCTGGAACAAGTCATGGGGAAGAGGGAAGGGTTGGCCTCTCCTTTTGTTCCCTTGTTTCTTTCTTTCCTATCCTACCCCTCCCTTCAGCTCCTTCAGGTCTGGACCAAAGAGGAGGATGACAGAGATGGAGGAGGGTTCAGAAATGGGCAGTCGTCTGTGGTCCTCTGTTGGTTTTCAGTGCCCTCTGTTGTGGCACACGTCCAGATGCTGGCTGGCCCTTTCACAAGGGACCTTTGTGGATTCTTTAGAGTCCTCCATGGGAACCTCTTCACTCCCCCAGTCTCTGACAACAGTGATGTTCTCTGACCTCTCACAACACCTCTCAGCTACCATTATCAGCACATCTTGGGGATCCCCTTGCTCCTTCAAGCAGGGGCTTTTGGGAGTGACTTGAGACCAGTAGCATTCTGTGGAGGCCACTTAGCCCAGACAAAGCTCTGCACATGCAGGTGTTCCAGCCACTGTCCTCTCCCCTCAACTTGCCATTGAGGTTGCTCCAGCTGACCTCCTGCCCACTTCCACCTTGTTCACTTCACTCTCAGACTCTTGGGGACACAAATTAAATTGCCTTGTGATCTCCTTCCCACTCTCCTCTATTGGCGTTGGAGCGAGTCTATGGGTTTCTGCAGCTCAGCAAGCGTCTGGCAAGGAAATGAGATATCAGTCTCCCCTCCTGCAGACAACTCCACTTTATGTTAGCTTCTTGCGGCCCCCAACTTGGCAGAGATAGGAAGAAGCATCATGAAACAGTACAGGGCTCCCTACAAACTCTCTTCAAAAAAGTTCTTTCTCCAACCAGTCCCTTTATAGTTTTGCATTTCTAGGTTTGTATCTGTAGTGTTCCCTTACACAGACTTGTGAGTAATACCCACTGTGCCAGTTTGGCCCCCTGTTAACAAGTCTTGTAGAAATGTGACTGGCTCCTCTCTTTGAAGCATGTGAGTACTTGAAACCCATGTTGCCTAGCTTTGAGGCTTCAGTCAAAAGTCAGACATAATAAGAAAAATTCTATTTAACAACCTGCTATATTGTTTGTGAATGTATGTGTCATCATTCAACTTTCCCAAAAAGCAGGCCTTGAGACAAAGATTTGACTGCAAGTAATTTATCTGGAGATAATTCCAAGAAACAGCAGTGGGGAGTAGAGAAGAAAAACAGGAAAGAAAAGTCAGCCATAAAGAGCTTGCTATCAAGAAAATTTCCACTGTGTGTAACTAAGCTCAGTCTCGCTGGGAAACTCTCAGGGCCTATGTGGAATACATACCTCTGAGGGAGCTGTGTATCTGGGGTGTTTGTACACCTCATGTTTGGGTGAGGGCTGCTCCTGGGGGTCTTGATTCCTCAGCATTTCCAACTTGCCATTTGCACAGCTCTGTTTGCGCTGGTGACCAGAGAGAGCTATCAGGCAAAGAAATGCAGATCTTGGCCATTGGAAATCAAACCAGTGTGCTCCAAAATGGTAAGAATGAGGGAAATTAAGGAAATGGGCAGAAAACCAGCAGTATGTGCTGCAGTGTGTGTTTGTGTGTGTGTGTGTGTGTGTGTGTGTGTGTATGTTGGGAGGAGGAACATATGAGAGACAAGCAAGCAGCCTTCATTCTAGATCCTTACCATGTGATATGTTGCTAACTATAATAGATTTTTCAAGCACCTAATGATCTTATCAACCCATCAGACCCAAATCATAGTTATCTCCCTTAGTTCTCAATATCTATTTCTTGCTTTCTCTCCAGTATATAAACAAATAAGTGCACCTGTTCATCTAATTTTCTGCAAAACCCCAAAGTGAAGAGGAAGATTCCCTGTTTTGTCACACCTGAATGGTTGTAGCTCTATCTCTTGACCTCTTCTTATTTTGGCTGTGTCGTGCAACATTCAGGATCTTAGTTCCCCAACCAGGGATCAAACCCGTGCCCTCTGCATTGGGAGCAAGGAGTCTTAACCACTGGACCACCAGGGAAGTCCCATCTCTTGACCTCTTTTTAGAAATGTTAATATATATCTTCTTGCAAGCTATATGGAGTTATATTACCCATAATTTTGTGGGTTAAAAAATAGTTTCTATCTTCTCTTAAGATGAAGATTTGATTTGTGATTTCTTAATTATGTCAAAGTATATTAGGAATCTAACCTGACATAAGCAACCAGGTACTAAATGTATTGTAGGATCAAATTATCTGAGGAAAACTACTTATTGACATGGTCTTTATTAGGAAAAAACCTTAAAGTCACAGATAAATGTTTATCTTATTGGCCACAAACACAGAGAATTCTGTAGATGTACATCTGCAGGGCATCAGTTTCCATGGTAATGCCATTTTCCTGGCATGCCATGCTCTCTCACCCTCCTCTGTAGACCTGGAGTCTACCCTACACCTCTCCCATCTTTACTCTCTGACTAGTGAACTCTGCTAGAGCAGGGGGAGGAGTATATTTCCTTTTGCCATTAATGTTGGGATTAACCCTGTAATCTGCTATAGCCAGTGGAATATGTATCTACTACAGTGCTTGATAAGCATTTATATATGTGAATGAAATGAATTCATAAATTTTGAGAGAAAAATCTAAATTCAGAACCTGTACTGCTAACCTGTGGTTTTGAACTATATGCCATTTTTTTGTCTGTTTGCTTCCTGATTCCTTCCTCTGTTCTGTATTGCTGGAGAGACTGGCCCTTGCAAACTAAATTTTACAGTCTTCCCTGTCAGTCTTTCCCAGGTATGTTCAGACACTAAGAGGTACTTGCACTGAAAGAAAGGAGAAGTTGGGGTTTTTATCCCCCTTTCTCTTCTTGGGAGGAAGGGGATGCATCTCTAGCAGTGGCTGCTTCTCTTCTGTGGTTCTAGCTCCCTTCCTCCATGGCTCCATGGCCTTTGTAGGTTGTAAAGCTTCCCACTCCTACCAGGTGGTCCATGTTTCTGGGGTCCAGCAAAGATACATCCTTTCTTTACCCTACCATTCCCTCGGGGTGTAGCAGCTGCCTGCAGTTAACAATCTCTGGGTCTCCTCATTTTCTCCTATTTGCTTTTCAGCTTTTCTAATCCTTGAGTATTATTTCCTGTATTAAATTCCCTCTGGTAGTTTCATTTTCCTGACTGGGTCCTGATGGCTTACCTATTTCAGGAGCCATGTGCAAAGCTATGTTTTTTTCTGAGCCCTGGTTCCTAAGGGAGATATGCTTTCCTCCTTAATTCCTTTTTGAGAGCATTCCTGAGAAATGTTCTTCCCTATGGCTTCTTTTCTTTTCCTATAGTAATAGTATTCTGTACAACTTGAGATAAAATTATATCCAGAACAACATCAGCAATCAAAAAGCTAGGTCAGCCCACTATTGTAAAGATGTCATCTGTTCCCAAATTGATCCACAGATTAAAAATGTCAGCTGTTACCAAATTGATCTATAGATTTGATGCAATTCCTACCAAAATCCTCAGAGTTTTTTCCTGAAAATTGAAAACTGATTCTAAAATTTATATGAAAATGCAAAGGGCCAAGAATAACCAATAACATCCTAAAGAAAAACAAGGTGAGAAGACCTTTTCCACCAGATATCAAGATTTATTTAAAAGCTATGGTGATAGAGAAAGTATGGCAGTGCTCCAAGGATAAACAAATAGACCAAAATGGAATGGACTGATATTCTAGAACAGTCCAGACACATACCCGTACACATATGGACTCCAGGTATTTTTCAAAGTTAAACTATAGAGCAGGTGGGAAATATGGTCATCTCAGGAAAAAAAAAAAATCCCAGAACACTTAGGTGGTGATATGGTTTTAAAAAAAAAAAAGTGACTGTACCCCTATCTCATACAATGTTTATTCTAAAGCCCTGTTTCCTAAGGAAAATATTGATTTCCTCTGTCATCCTGCTTTGAGAGAATTCCTGAGAAATGTTCTTCCCAAAGGCTTCCCCCCCGTTCCCTGTACATGGTGATCTGAAATAATAAAAATATTATAAAATAATTAGAAAAAGAAAAGTAACTCTGAATGTAGGAACTGGCTGTCGACCAACTGACAACAGTGAAAAGACATACACAGCCTCAAACACATGTTTCTAGATATGGAGGTTGGGGGGTGGTGCGGTGCGGGGGAGATGAGAAATAAGCTTGAACAATCTAAGCAGGACCTCGGTCCTCTCCCCCCGACTCATTTTAACTACCTCTCCTCACCCTTCCACCCCTTCTTCTGCCTAACTCCCCACCCTCTCTCAAGACCCAGAGCACCAAGGCGATTGGACTGGCATAAATTTCTTCCTACTTGCGCCACCGCCCCGGGGCCGCCTCGTGACGTCAGGGCTGAGCGAGGGGGCGCCACCTCCTGGGTGCCCGCCCCTCCCGGCCCTGCGGCCCCGGCTTGCTCTTTAAAAGAGCGGGGCCTGCGCCAACCGCGCCACACCGCGGGGACCAAGATACAAGGCTATTTTCCCCGAGTATCTGCATCCCGCCTTCCGTCCACGTCTGCTCACCGTCAGCCGCCACCCTCTTCTCCTGCGCAGATTCCGGCGAGCCGGGCCATGCAGCCTGCAGTGCTTCTCGGCCTCCTGGGAGCCACGATGATGGCGGGTGAGTGGGCACTGTGGGGAGATCAGAACCGCGGACAGCGCCAGCCTCTGCCTCTCCGGCCGCTCTGGGCATCCTGACTGGCGGATACTGGAAGACGGGGAGGGTTGAGTGGATGGTGTCTCCCTCTTGCTTGAGGTTCTTACTTTCTTCTCTTCCCTGGGTATTTCCCTTCAACTCCCCGCCCCAACGTCTGACTTGGAAAAAGCCAGAGAGCTCCCTAGCCCAACCAAAAGGGTCTGTTTTAATAGATATAAAGAAGACGTGCCCGCGCCTCCAAGGAAACCCCACATTGTGTGCTCACTTCTAAAATGTCACATCCTCTTTTTTACCTGTTTAGAGAAATGCTGTGATAGTCTTATTCTGTATCTGTAATTAAGTGTTTATTTGGCTTTTTAAAGCCAGATGACCACGGAGAGACAGGAATACATGTATTATATTAGTTGGCAACTGTATAATTTATTATTTTATTATTTAAACATGATTAGATAAAAGTAAGTCTCTTATGTATATATGTAGATAAGATATATCTTTTTTCTTAATACATTCATATATGTGTGTTCAGGTATATGTATGCACAGGTTTAGTGAAATATTTTTCTGTATTTTGTATTTCTGTCTCTGGGGAGAGGTAATTTCACATTCAAATTAATCCATCTTTAAGTTATAAATGGAAACTGCAAGAGGTATTTTGACTTTTGTATTCCAGAAAAATAATGAGTATAAAATAACCACGAAAAATATTTTTAGAGTAGTAAAAAAAAAAAATCGTTTTAGTCAATTTGGGAGGATAAAATTTTAAGTAGTAGATATTTGTGTGCCTCTTTATGTGTGGAAAATTGTGGGATTGATCTCTCAAACTACTCTGAATCTCAAAGAAATGATCTTTGGAGATTTGGGGGAAAAGTGTGTGTGTGTGTGTGTGTGTGTGTGTGTGTGTGTGTGTGTGTTGAAGTAAAATCCATGAGTCCATTGAGAAGTAAATATGCCACCACCAGATTAAATTGGAGGGGTTCTTTTAGCTGTCTTAATGACCTCATAGAATATTGTTCTTATCTGAGATTGAGATTCCTAACTAGAGTTGAGGCATCGCCATCCATGAATATGAGGGTTTCATTGACAGCAATTACAGGATCCCAAAGAGAAAATGAAAGCCACTGGTAATTTATTTTATTGCAAACTACATACATTCAGAATTTTCTAAAATTCTTGTCACTCTTACAAATTGCCTATAACTGTTCTCGATTTAATTAAAGGAAACCAAATGAGTGTTTAGAGTCCTTCCTGGTCAAAAATATTTTCAGAAAGGAATTGCTTAACAAGATAAATCTGTGTTATACATTGTGCTATAGACCACAGAAACAATGTCTTTTATGAGACTTACTTAACTATAGTGGTAAAATATTTATGTCTCTTATGCAAGATAATATTTTAAGAAAGTTTTATATTTTAACAGCAACTAAAATCAAGATATTATATTCTTTAAAAAAATTTTTTACTGAGCTATAATTCACACACCATAAAATCCATACTTTTAAAGTGCATAATTCAGTGATTTTTAGTACATTCACAGATTATCACATTTCAGAACATTTTCATTGTGGTAGAAAGGAACTCCATATGCATTAGCAGTCATTCCCCATTCCCACCTCCCCCAAATGCTTGGATATTAGGCATGGTAGCCTTCAAGCAGAGTTTGTTCTTTAGCAAAATCACAGGAAACCTGCAGAAACCATCTGGCTCATTTCCTACCATTATGAGTTTCTGAAGGAGATCTACACCTTTCTACAGGAGTTGTTCACTCTAAAAATTAATATGAGTGAAGGAGCTACATGCTATTCATATATACTAGGTAAGATGGTTTCTGCATTCAAAAGCATTAGCGGGGACTTCCCTGGTGGTGCAGTGGTTAAGAATCCGCCTGCCAATGCAGGGGACACGGGTTTGATTCCTGGTCCAGGAAGATCCCACATGCCGTGGAGCAACTAAGCCCGTGCGCCACAACTACTGAGCCTGCGCTCTAGAGCCCTTGCGCCACAACTACTGAGCCCGTGTGCCAGAACTACTGAAGCCTGTGTGCCTAGAGCTCGTGCTCCGCAACAGGAGAAGCTACCGCAATGAGAAGCCTGCACACCGCAACGAAGAGTAGCCCCCGCTCACCACAGCTAGAGAAAGCCTGCATGCAGCAACAAAGACCCAACGCAGCCAAAAAAAAAAAAAAAGAGTTTGCGTACCATGTTATTTTATAGCTGTATTTTCATTCTGGGATGAAACCTTAGTTTGGTAGTCTTATGGAATATTAATACTTTGGAAGTTATTCTCAGATTTATCATATGATATTATTTGAAAATTTTTCTGCCATTTGACTACTTCACTTTTATCACAATTATTGGGTGATAATAATTGTGCACCCTTAATGTTAACTTTTACAAAAATAAGTTACACTACTTTGGGGTATCAACATACCTTCGGTTATTACTTTGCTGCCACAGATTCTATTGGAAGAAATACAGTGGAACTTAGATGTCTCACTAGATGCATAATATGCTTTCATAAGGAGACCTTAGTTCCTTTTCATTAAAAAGATGTCTGAAGAGCCTCAATTAGGAAAGAGAATTGTTCTGTAAAAACAAACATGAGCTACAAATTGTTTAGAGTCACAAAAGAAAAATATTCCTCTCCCCTCAAATCAGATGACTGTTACTACTTTAGCAATATCAGTAGTTAATAATAGCACCTGGGCTTCCCTGGTGGCGCAGTGGTTGAGAATCTGCCTGCCAATGCAGGGGACACGGGTTCGAGCCCTGATCTGGGAAGATCCCACATGCCGTGGAGCAGCTGGGCCCGTGAGCCACAATTACTGAGCCTGCGCATCTGGAGCCTGTGCTCCGCAACAAGAGAGGCGGTGATAGTGAGAGGCCCGCACACCGCGATGAAGAGTGGCTCCTGCTTGCCACAACTAGAGAAAGCCCTCGCACAGAAACAAAGACCCAACACAGCCATAAATAAATAAATAAATAAAGCAAACTGTCAACAGGTAAAAATAAATAAACACTATTATAAAAAAAATTAATAGCACCTATTAAACATTTGTGGGAAAAAAAAGTTATTAGCAAGAAACTGCATTTACCAAAGAAAGTTTAGTAAAGCTAGAATTTTTAAAGGCACTTTCTAGTTTATGACAGAAGTAATTCTCAGTTATTTCTTTTCAGAGCATTTTACAGATCTCAGGTGGAAAGAGTAAGTGCCAAAGTGGGAATGTTCTCAAATAACAGCCATTTGGGGAATAAAATAATGGCCCAGCATATTGGACCCTGAATACCAAAGGTGGCCATCCAGATCTTGTCTGAACTACATTTCAGGAAGATAGTGGGGTCATACCTTGTTAATCACTTCTTAAATATTTTACCAGTGATTTTAACATGCTGCATAACTTTGGGCCTATTGAAACAATTGGAGTAGATCCCAGGCTGTGCTTTGAAAAGGAAAATTCAGTAAGGTGAGCAAATGAAATAGGAGTTTTATTTCTAGATTGAGCCCTATGATATGTAATTGATTGGGAGGAGGTAAAGAGATTGGAAAGCAAATATTTGGGGAGGAAAGGTCAGGTTGCTGGTAATAAGAAACAGCATTTGAGCAGCTTCCATCTCTGATGTCTGAGAGTTTTGCTCTTGCTCCAAGTAGCTCTTCACTTGTCTCAGAGACCTGGAAGAATCTTCTGCACTGAGCTCTCCAGCCATAATAGCAGTTTATCCTCTAGGGAGTGTCAGGAGAACTGTAGAGATGGGCCTATATGTAAATGCTTTGAGCTACTCCAGTGGAAAGGGCTTAGACAAAACAAAGTCAAAGTGAAAGATAAAAGAATCAAAGCAACTTTGAAAAAGGAAAAAAAAAAAAAAAAAGCACTGTAAAATTAAAAACACCTGAAGCATTTCCTAAGCTGACAAAGGCACTTCAATCCCTTCAATCACTGGTTGAAAATAAGCAGAATCTCATGAAATTTAATTTGAATAAATTAAAATTTATCTTTTTGCAATATCCTCATGAACTATCCATTAAACACCTATTTGCATATGATATTATGGATTCAACAATATCCTGGTAAAATTAGATACCTCCCATATTCTTTACATGGCTGCAGACAACATGGGGGAAGGGAAACAACACTGATACAGACACATAAGCATGCTTGTCCAAGAAAAGGCTTGGGGGTAAAACGAGGTAATTAATTATATAAGATAATCATAACCACATTTTTGTAAAGGAAGTGAGTTTCAGGGAGAATATTTTCTTGGGGACAGGAAAAGGCAAAGGGAATCACAGATCTTTACCCATTTTGAGTAGGCAGAAGGGTTGAGAAGGGCACCCCAGTTTCATTTAAACTAGGTTTGTTTTAAACTTTTTATTGACATATAATATATGTACAGAAAACTGCATATAGATCATAAGTATACAGCTTACTGAATTTTTCCCTCCTTAAGCACAGCTGTGTAATCAGCACCCAGATCAAAAACAGAACACTGCCAGTATCCCAGAAGCTCCCCTTGTGTGGATTTGATTTATATTGGATATAAGATAGCATTCATTTTCAAATCATGTTTATGACATTGCTAGGGGAAACAGCTGTGTGTGTGTGCATGTGTGCGTGTGTGTGTGTGTATGTGTGTGCAACTGGGGCAATTCTTGTCCCTGGGACAGACATCCGCAACTATCTCCACTCTGCTCAGCTCTGACTTTGCCCCTCCCTCCAAGTAACATGCTGGGGGTGGGGTGATTTTGTGAGTTTGGGGACACACAGCTTCCAAAAATCAACTCACTTCCCATTCTTTTTTTCTTTCAAAGCTGTCAGTTCTATGCCAGTGGACATCAGGAACCACAGTGAAGAAACGGTAAGTTGAAATGGAAGTCTGGAATCTAGACTTATATCTAGACTCTGGATTCTCCCACCCCTTATCTCATCAAACTAAACAAAATAAAAACCAAAAATAGACAAACAACAATAAGGAAATGGGAGCAAGTGATGTCCCTCCTGCCCCGGGCTTTTACCTCCTTCCTGGATGTTTTAGTGCCCCTGAGGATAGCTGTCATCACACTGTTTTCCTTTGAATCTGTTCAGAAATGGGTGTTTATTTCTCTTCTCTGGATAGTCTTGACCCAACGCCTTCTTGCATTGCTCTGTGAGGTGGCCTGGGAGGTTTCACTACAGTCCTATATGTAAGTCTACATTCCTGACCCAAGGGGTCTGCATTGATACAGGTCACATAGCCAAGCCTCTTTTGACAGCAGCTCTGGCTTAAGTAGTCAGGCATCCCAGTGATACCAGCTTTGCCAACCTGCTTTCTGGTTTCCCCCTAGGTGACTCGCTGCATCATCGAGGTCCTCTCAAATGCCTTGTCGAAGTCCAACACTCCACCCATCACCCCTGACTGCCGACAAGTCCTGAAGAAGAGTAAGTATCCTCCACTTCAGGAGATCTTTGTCCCTTGAGTAGTTCTTTCTCTTGCTCCCTCTGTTTTGCCTTCCACTTTACCTCCATATGAACCAGGGGCATGATGCAGTGGGAAGACTACAGGCTAGATCAGTATCTGGGAAGATGACATATGGCTTCCAAACCCTGCTCTGCCATTTAAACATATGGCTTCCAAATCCTGCTCTGCCACTTAATAGCCATGTTACCATGGGAAAGACCCCTTGCCTCTCTGGGCTTATTTCTTCAAAGTAAAATGAGGGAGTTGAACTCAATGATAGTCTGTGAGCTGTCTATATAGTTCTTAAATTCCTTGGTTTGAGAGTTTGGAATTTTAAAACAGGCTTTCATTTGGGTGGAGTGAGGTATAGGGAGTGCTCATTTGTGATTAGACAGGGAGGCGAAGTGTTCTGGAAGCAACGGAAGATGAAAGGATAGAAGGAGACAAAAATTATTCTTCTCTTTACCTTCTACTCTTCTGACAATGAGGAGCTAGAAGCTTGGAAAGGTGACTGGGAAACTTCTGGCCTGTTTACATGACAGATTGGTTAAGCCATTTTAATACATAGCTTGTTAGAATGAGAGGACTACCAAATGGTATCAGGAGTTCTAGGCCTGAGAACTGGAAGGGGTGGGGGTAGACTTAGAGCATCCAAGGAGTCAGAACAATGGCCTTCTGGGTCTAGACTGGAATGTTCCTCTATACAAAACAGCTTATGTTGAAAGCAAAATTTAAACAGTGATACGAGCAGTATCCATTGGAAGTTGACATAAAGAGGTAAATTTTACAAAACTATGCATCTCTGGGACTTCCCTGGTGGTCCAGTGGTTAAGACTCTGTGCTCTCAGTGCAGGGGGCATGGGTTCGATCCCTGGTTGGGGAACTAAGATCCTGCATGCTGCACAGCATGGCCAAAACAAAAACAAAACTATGCATCTCTTTTAGCATGAAGTCAAACTGATTCAAACAAATCCGAAAAGCTCTGTTCTCTTCAACACCTTTCTCTGCTTTTAAATTTTTAGTCAGGCTGAGAACAGTGGATTTTCTTTTTTCTTTTCACCTTCAAAATCTCCTATTGCAAGATAATACTCTCTTCCTGTTGCTGCACATGAGGCCCATGCATAAAATTATAACAAGTATGAGTGACTAGCCAAAAGAGTAACCTGGGGGAACTCAATCCACTATTGGGGGCTTCAGGATAACCATAGTAGGTGTGGGGGCCTGAGACTGTAGGAGACCCATGCACAGTGGAAGGAAGCTTCTCTACCACTCCCAGCCTACATACCTCTTTCATGAGCTTGTTAGAATGAGCTTATTAGCCATTGCAGGGGATGAGTGAGAGCAGGGTGGGTCTCCAGGCAGGGACTAAATGCTGCTCCTTTGGGCAAACCCATCTCGTTATTTCCCTTCCCATTTCTTTGTTTACCAGACGGATGCAGAAGTTTTGGGTCTGTCATACTAGGTCATCAAAGAACCAAGATTGCTTAGGAAGAGTTGTTGATTGTAGGGCTTTGCTAACTGCCAAGATCAGATTCTTAGCTCTCAGGTAGGAGTCTAGCCTCTGCTCATCACTGATTGTGCCCTGGGGTCTTTTGAGTCTCTTGAGAGAGCCCCAGGAAAACTGGTAAAAATCAAATGACCCATGTCTATCAGGACCTTGGAGACATCATAGCCAGAGAGCCATTAAATACTGAGATCAGGGAGATTTGAGCTCCTCCGGGGTTGCAGACTCAAACACCAGCCAGGGCCAGGAAAATACGTAAGAGAAAGGAATAAAACAGGACAGGAAGTGACTCACGAACTGGAGGATACATGCCCCTTCTAAGGAGGAGTAGATTTTTCTCAGCTTGAAACCTATTGTGAGAGAAATATAGATTCTGTTACCAGATCTTGGGATTTTTCAAAAGAATTTAAAATTTGGATATCTAAGCAATATCTCCTAGTATCTAAATATTGCCTCTGAATTCAAATTTACTAAAAATGTTATTTAGGCCAAATAGAATTCACCTTTGGGCTACCAGTTCATAACTTCTGTCGACTGAAAAAAAAAAAAAAAGAAGCACAACCTAAAATTTGAGATTTATATTTTATTCCATGGACATACTAAGGACTTAAGCCCAGGAGATACCCTCTCAGATACAGTCTGAGGGACTGTTTTGAAGAGGTAAGGGAGGAGCCAGGATATATAGGCGTTCTTGCAATAAAAACCAGATAGTCAGAACATCAAAATATTACAGTTAATTAAAGAAAACCAGACATCTTAAGTTAACGAATTTAGCACTTTTCTATGTATGGGAAGATGCAAGAGTCTGGGCTTACTGAAGTCATTCCTTTCATATGTGTTGCGGTCTGGGAGCCACACGCCTGGAGTTCCCCGGTAAATGCGACCCGTGTCCCAACCAAGGACACCCGAGAATCACCAACACCAAGCAGAAAGATTAGCAAAGGATTTATACAAATACAAGTATAGAAGCTTACACAAACTGTCCGGACAGGGTCCCACTCGGAGAGAAGTGAGTGAGACCCCGAGTAACAGTCGGGCGAGGCTTTTATACCCTTCACAGGGTGGGAAGTCCCCAAGGTGGGAGGGAGCTGTTTAATTTTGAATCAGCCAATCAGGAACCCGGTTCTTCCCGCCCCAAGCAAGCAAGCAAGTTTCTTACAGAAGCCAAAATGTGCTGTTAGCCCTGAAGCTGTTCTTCCGTTTCTTTCGTCACAGTAGATGTATTTTTAATGTGTTTGTGGGGAGGAAGGTGATCTCCACGTCTTACTACTCCACCATCTCGAAGGTCTCTTCCTATATTTCTTTATTTTAAAAGCCTAGACGTTTCCCCCCTGCTGAAATGTCTTATGCTGATCACAGGACTGGTGGAGCTTTCTGCCAAGCCAACAAGTTGGATGAATTCCTTCATGTAGCCTCCCTCCCATCCCCAACCCATCTCTGTCTCCACTCCCACTCTCTCCAGCACATCTCTGGAGTGAGCACACGCTTACTGAGCAAACAAACATTTGGGGAGCAGGGAAGAATCACTGTTTCATGGCTTGAAGAGATCTTAGGGAATTCATAGTCCAATTTCTTAACAGGTATAAGAATCTCTTTGATCTGGTCATCTCTACAACATGATAGTTAGGGATGGAAGGTGCATTTTCCCCTTTTTACTTGAAGTCAGAGTGAGCTTCACACTTTGGTTTTACAGATTGACAAGACTGTATGCTGCTAATCACAGCCTTCCTCAGATCTCACCTGAGGGGACTTAAAGCTAAATTTAGGAGGAAGTGCTGAGCCTCAGGCAAGCTGCTACAAGCAGCACACATTTAACCTGGAAAAAATAAAAATACTTCTCTTCTTGACCAGCAGGCAGTAGGAAAGGGGCCACACAGCCTCTGCCTCGGGAAGCTGAGATTCTGTCCAGATGACATCGGTATCTGCTCAAAGCCTCCCTGCTTACATGTGCATACCTGGTCAGCCCTGCCTCAGTGCTGCACACACCACCACTGGCTCTTAAAAGGCAAAGGCACTGGTGAGGGGCCAGCCCTCAGGTGTCTGGGTGTGGAAGGTCAGGGACCTTTCAGTTGCCTCATAAAACATGAAAATATTATCATGCCAGGCTGGGCTTTTAAGCAGAGAGGAATAGACTGTCTGCTATTTCTTGGACATTTTTACAAAACAGACCAATTTTTTCTGTTTTGCAAATATCAGTTCAAAATGACTCATCAAGAGCCATTCAATAGAAATATCATGTGAACCACAAATATAATTTCAAATTTTTCAGTAGCCACATTAAAAAAGTAAAAAGAGACAGGTGAAATTAATTTTAATAATACATTTGATTTTGTCCAATTTATTTTATTCAATATATAATTTGTACATACAATATGTTTATAATATATATTATCTTGTACATCCAAAATATTATCATTCCAACATATAATCAATATGAAAATTTGAGGTATTTTACATTCTTGTTTTTCATCTGAAGTCTGAAATCTGGTGGTTTCTTACATTTACAACATGTCTCAGTCTGGACCAGCCACATTTCAAGTCCTCAGTAGCCACAAAGGTTTGGTGGCCCCCACCATGGATGGCACAGACGTCAGCCTAGAGCTGTGAGCAGCCTTGGCTTCAGGTGTTCTATATGAACTCAGTGACATCAGTTGAAATCCAAGTCCTCCCAGCTAACAACTCAGACAGTGTTAACTGCATATCTTCTTTCACAGGATGCCCTTGAGTTAAGGAGGATTTAGTGAAGATGCTGTCAACATTTGGAAAAGATGAGAAAAAACAGCATTCAATTAAAATGTTGGTTATACTGTCTACTGTTGATTTGTGCAATACAAAGATAACTCAGTTTACTGAAGTTCATTCTCAACATTTGAGAACATGTGGGGCGGATGGGACCTGAGTAAGGGAAGGACATGGTCCTTTCCACTGCTGTGCAGTTTTCTCAGGGAAGAAAAAAACACCCTGCTTATCACCAATTACTAAGTTTTATTGTCACTTACTGCTAAGTTGCATCTACACAGTTGATTGGATAATAAAAGTCTGATAAACTAATTAAAAAAAAATTTAATCCTTTGTTGAATCTGATGTTTCCCATTTTGGGCATTTAACTTCATTTAGCTGGATTCTAGTGGGAACCATTTACACAATGCTAACTTTTAAACCACTACTTAGAACAAACATGGAAATAATGGTCCTGAATTACACCTCTCTGAGCCTCAGTGTCTCTGTCCACAAAAAAAGGAGGTTGAAATACACAAATTCTAAGGTGTCTTCTGGTTCTAAATTCTAGTATTTTATAAACCTATATTTGGATTTCAATTTGGTCATTGAAAGATACTTATTGGGTGTTATGAAAAAATAAATATGCAGAGAATTTATTATCAGATTTAAACACAGCTAAGGAGTTTTCATACCATTTCTTTCTCTTTTTAAATATTTATTTATTTATTTGGCTGTGCTGGATCTTAGTTGCAGCATGCAGGATCTTGGTTGCAGCAGGTGGGATCTAGTTCCCTGACCAGGGATCGAACCCTGGCCCCCTGCACTGGGAGTGTGGAGTCTTAACCACTGGACCACCAGAGAAGTCCCCATACCATTTCCTTTAAAAGTAATCTGAGTATATTCTTTATTAACTTAAAAAATTACCCAAGGACTTTCAGGATCTTTAGGATTTGTAGTGATCACTGAGGCTGTGCTTACTGAACCACAGACAATTCTGAAGTATACTTACTCTTTTTTATTTTCATTATAGGTGGAAAACAGCTCAAAGATGAAGAGAAAAGTGAAAATGAAAACACAAGATTTGAAGTGAGATTGTTAAGAGACCCAGCTGACGCCTCAGAAGCCCCCAGGACCTCCAGTAGGGAGGACGCAGGGGAGGAGGACGCCCAAGGCCAGACAGTGGCAGACACAGAGGGCGGTGGGCACAGCCGAGAGCGGGCAGGCGAGCCCCAAGGCAGCCAAGTGGCCAAAGAAACAAAGGCACGCCATTCTGAGAAGAGCAAGGGACACGACAGGGAGGAAGAAGAGGCAGAGAAATATCAGAAAAGGGAGCGTGTGGAAGATGGCAGTGAGGAGAGACACCCTGGAGGGCCAGGAGAGGCACAAACTGCTCTTCCCAGCCACAGAAACCAGACTCCAGCTAAGAAAGAGGAGTTAGTGTCCAGATATGATACGCAGTCTGCGGGGGGCCTGCAGAAGTCTCACAGCCGGGAGAGGAGCAGCCAGGAGAGTGGAGAGGAGACCGGGAGCCAGGAGAATGGGCCCCGAGAGCCGCAAAGCCACCCCGAGCGCTGGGAAGGACCTGAGGAGAGCGAGGAGGATGTCAGCCCCGAGGCAGACAAGCGACGCTCGAGGCCAAGACACCACCACGGGAGGAGCAGGCCCGACAGGTCCTCTCAGGAAGGGAGTCCTCCCGCTGAGGGAAGGGTGTACTCCCGGGAGGAGCCACACGTGGGCACAGGCAGCTCAGGGGAAAAGAGAGCCCGCCACCCAACCCTCTCCAGGGCTTCGGAGGAAGAAGCCGAATACGGGGAGGAAGTGAGGAGTCACCTGGCTGCCCGGGCTCCCGGGGACCTGGAGAGGGCACGATATGGGGGCAAAGGAAGTGAAGAGCACTGGGCTCCCAGGCCTCGCAGTGAGGAGAGCCCAGAGCAGGAGGACAGGAGAAAAGGCCTCAGCCTAGAGCTGAATAGCATGGCGCACGGCTATGACGAGGAGAGCGAGGAAGAGAGAGGCCAGGAGGGGGGACCCCACCACAGAGCCCGGGGAGGGGAGCCGGGAGCCTACTCCACTCTACACCAAACAGAAGAGAAACGGTTCTTGGGTGAAGCGCACCACCGTGTTCAGGAAAGCCAGACGGAAAAGGCGAGGCGGCATCCACCAGGCGAGGTGCGAAATTACCTCGACTATAACGAGGAAAGGGGTGAGGAAGGGGCCCGAGGGAAGTGGCCACAGCTGGGGGACCCGCAAGACGCTGAAGAGAACAGGGAAGAAGCTGGGCTTCGAGGCAAACAGTATGCTCCCCCTCACATCACCGAAAAGGAGAGATTAGCGGAGCTTGTCAGTCCATACTACGACCCTCCCCAGTGGAAGAGCAGCCGGTTTGAGAGAAAAGACCACCTGGATGACAATTCTCTTGAGGGTGAAGAGGAGAACGGGCTGACCTTGAATGAGAAGAATTTCTTCCCAGAATACAACTATGACTGGTGGGAGAAAAAGCCCTTTGAAGAGGATGTAAACTGGGGGTATGAGAAGAGAAACCTGGCCCCCAAACTGGATCTGAAAAGGCAGTACGACAGAGTGGCCGAACTGGACCGGCTCCTTCACTACAGGAAGAAGTCAGCTGAGTTCCCGGACTTCTATGGCTCGGAGGAGCAGATGCACCGTCGCCACACAGCAGAAAATAAAGAGGAGAGAGCTGGCCAAGGAGTTCTGACGGAGGAAGAGGTATGCTGTGGGGCTTTTGCTTAAAACTAACTTCAGGTGGTTAATTTTAATATGTTATATACAAGACTGTCTGATACTAGGGGGAGATATGGATGGGGATTAATCACCATGGGACTGTACGCCTAATAACGGAGCGGAGACAACCTCTGGGTTTGATTTCCACCTGGCAACTAGCCATTGTCCACAGCCCTGTCCACTTCCTCCCACTGCAGTACTGCAGTGCTGCAGTGCTTCTCAACCTCGGCTGCACGTTGTAATCACCTGGGGAGCTTGAAAAATTACTGACATCTGGGAGCCACACCCAGAGATTCTGTTTGGTACTGGATGCTGCCTGGGCATCAGGATGTTTTAAAGCTCCCAGGTGGTTTCAATGTTCAGCGAAGGTTGAAAACCACAGGTCTAGTGTCTTCTCCTTGGTCATTTGACTTTTCATCACTATTTCCCAGGGTAGGAAAGAACAGGTGATACAGAAGTTAGTTGCTTAGTTCTATCTCTGTCGTCTATAACAGTCAGACATCTACATGTAGGAGAAGTAACATTACCAGAGCTTTACTTTCCTTAACAATGTTTTTTCCCCTAATATTGATTATGTAGGTTGGTGCTTCTCAGGCTTGAATGTGCCTCAGAATCATGTGGGATTTCTAGCCTTAGAGTTTCTGATTCAGTAGGTAGGTCCCAGTTGGGGCCCAAGAACCTGTATTTCTGACAAGTCCCCTGGTGATACTGATGCTGCTGGTCAAGGAACCACACTTTGAAAACCACTGATGTCGGGGGTCTCCTATAGCCTGTAACATATCAAAAATTCCCCTTTCTGTTCAGACTCCCTAAAACTGCAAAGAACTAAATTGATCTGGGACCTCATGCCTCTACTTTTCTGTATTTTCTAGGAAAAAGAACTTGAAAACTTGGCTGCGATGGATTTGGAACTACAGAAAATAGCTGAGAAATTCAGTGGTAACCGAAGGGGCTGATGGTCATTGGAGCAAAGGGCAGATTTTAAAAGCAGCCCTCACATGATCTGTTTTCCACCACTTCACTGAAAGACCCCATTTATTTACCCAAAGGCAGAACGTAGAATTTACTGTTCATCAGATGTTTGACATGATTGGAAAGAAATGTCCTTAATTTTTGCCAGAATGTTATTGAAAATATGAATAGTATGACTTGTAGCATATTCTTTATCAAATAATAGATATATTAACATGCTTGTGACAATGACTGTGCTACTGTCCTTGAAAAAATGTCTCAGTTTGAAGTAATAAAAGATTCACCTGAGGCCAAAAGTGTCATGTTCTCAGCTTCCTTTGGGCTAATAGGGAGGAGTATGACTTTTAGATTCATTCTTCAAAGTACATTCTAAAATATAGCACTAAGATTTGTTGGTTTGTTGGTGTTTGGATACAGAAATGAAAAAAAAAAAGGAAAAGAGCAAACATGTGAAATAAAAGAATGTGGAGGGGGCTTCCCTGGTGGCGCAGTGGTTAAGAATCCACCTGCCAAGGCAGGGGACGCGGGTTCGAACCCTGGCCTGAGAAGATCCCACATACTGCGGAGCAACTAAGCCCGTGCGCCACAACTACTGAGCTCGCGTGCCTAGAGCCCATGCTCCACCACAAGAGAAGCCACCACAGTGAGAAGCCTGCGCACCACAACGAAGAGTAGCCCCCACTCACGGCAACTAGAGAAAGCCCATGCATAGCAACAAAGACCCAACACAGCCAAAAACATAAATAATAAAAAAAAAAGAATGTGGAGGATATAAAGAGAAAGAGATCAGGAAAAGGCATTGCTCCCCCAGGCTGGAGAAAGATTAAATAGGCTTGAAGAATCTGTTTCAAAAATTATTATAAGACATTACTTTTAAAATCCGATTATCTGGAGAGCTCTGGGAATAGCTGGCCAAGGGTCATTTTTCAGGGCTGAGGAGAAAGCCTGGATAGTGGGAAGAACTCCAGACTGGGAATCACAACATCTGGGGTAGGCCAGACAGATCCTTGGACCTTCAGGGCGTGTCTCATATCTTCTCTATAAGAAGACAGGGCTCTGACTCTAAGTAACTGTGTGACTTTGGGCAAGTTACTTTCCCTCTCTGGGCCTCAGATTCATCAGTAAAACAAGGATATCTGTTCCATTGGGTTGTTGTGAGGATGACTGAATTTAAGCAAAACACTCGGAGTAGTGCCCAGTGTAAGGCAATGGGGCAGAAAACAGTGGCTGCTATCATTTTTATGGCTGCAGCTTCTCACAGCAAGACCAATGGACAATAGCCCTTCTCCCTTCTTTTACTTGGCATTTCATTCCTCACAGATGGTGGCTTCTACTTGGTTGATTACTCCTGTTTTGGCAGTTCAGGTAAAGAGTTGTCCTCTGGGCATCACCCATGACTTTTATTCATCTGGAAGGCCTGGTTCTCTTCCTCTTAACTAAGTTAAGATTTGCCTGTGATAATTTAGCCAGATTCTTGTCAGGTTAACTCTTGGTGACATACTTCTCCAGGAGAGTGTCAGTTTATCATATGGAGAGCAAGCCAGTGTGATGATGAATCAGTGTGATGAATCTGACAGAAAATTGTTCTAAATCTGGGCACACACACTTCTAAAAGGCTGCTTATTGTCTCTCTAGGCATTTTTTCCAGCCATGGGATCATGATGGGCTGCTTGCAAAGGCGAGTGGGAAGTGCTGGGGGTCATGGCTGCTGGAGGCAGTCCTCGTGGGACAAGGAGTTAGGATACAAATATCATTCCAGTTTCTGGGGGCTGCCATAACAAAGTACCACAAACTGGGTAGTTTAAAACAACCGAAATTTACTCTCTCACAGTTCTGGAGGCCAGAAGTTCAAAATTAAGGTGTTGGCAGGGCTACACTCCCCTCCAAAGTCAGTAGAAGAATGTCCTTCCTGCCTCTTCCAGCTTCTGGTGGCCCCAGGTGTTCCTTGGCTTGTGGCAGCATCATTCCAATCTCTGCCTCCATCTTCTCATGACCATCTTCTTTCTATGACCCTCTCCTCTTCACACAATGTTCTTTTTATAAAGATACCAGTCATGCTGGATTAAGGGCCCACCCTACTCTAGTATGAGTAATTACCTCTGCATCAATCCTATTTCCAAATAAGGTCACATTGGGAGGAACTAGGGGTTGGAACTTCAACATATCTTTTTCTGGGGGCAAAATTCAACCCATAACAAGCAGGCCAGTTCCTGCACCCCTCAGGTGGATTAACTCTGAGCCGCATATTCTGTGCCTCCTAGAACTCCCCGGGGGATTGAGCCCCAGGTGCCACAGGTGGCCTGCTCTCTAGTGCACCCTTTATGGGCTCTCTTTACTTCCCTGTCCTGCACCTACTGCTGACCCTACTGGTGTTTCCTGGGATCACCTCCCAGATAAACCGATTGTCCTCAACTTCTCATCTCAGGGATTGCTTCTGGGAAAGCCCAACCTAAGAAACCATTCAACAGCAAGCTCAAACTCATCTTATGGTAAATAATGTAACCACACATTGTAATACATTGCAGTTATAATCTCTTGTGTTACTGTGTCTTGACAGAAGATATTGGGAAATGCTTAACACGTTGCAATACATGCAACGCAATATGTCTCTCCCCTTCTCTACTGCAGTCCAGTAGAAAACAAAATCATTTCCTAAATAAAGAGAATTCAAGGGGCCCAAAATGAATAGGGATTTACTTACTGGATGAGAGAAACACTGCAATGCATCAAATGCCAGCCTGGCAAGTCACACACACACACACACACACACACACACAAACACACACACACACACATATGGTGGGCACTGCTCATGAGGAGAAGCTGCTGGCAGATGGAGCACAGCTCTGCATGGTGCCCCAGGCTTGGAAATGGTTCACACAGCTTCCTCCTGGCCCACTGCCTGGTGGCCCTGTGCTCTAGCACAGCTTTTCATATTAGTTTGCTGACACTTCAGGGCAGGGGAATGTGCAAGCATGAATGACCTATCAAGGTTGCAGGAGACATCCAAGAGAATCCCACCTGAGCCGTGGTACCCAGCAGAATGCAGTTAGGACCTTGAGTGCCAACATTTCTTTGAGAAGGAGTCAAGGACTAACCAGGTTACTGTTTTTTCCCCCTTTAATCAAAATAATATATGTTGATGGCAAAACATTGAGTGAGTGTTATGAGTTGAATTGTGTGCCTCAAAATGATATGTTGAAGTCCTAACCCCTGGCACCTGTGAATGTGACCTTATTTGGAAATAGAGCTTCTGCAGATGCGATCTATAATAGTTACGATGGGGTAATTAGGGTGGGCCCATATCCAATATGAAGAGGGAAATTTAGATACAGACACATACAGAGAAGAATGCCATGTGAAGACAGACATACAGGGAAGAAGTCCACGTGAAGACAGTGGCAGAGACTGGAGTTATGCTGCCACCAGCCAAGAAGCACCTGGGGTCACCAGAAGCTGGAAGAGGCTAGGAAGGATTCCCCGCTAGAACTGTCAGGGGGAGTGTGGCCCTGCTGACACCTTGATTTGGAACTTCTGGCCTCTAGAATTGTGAAATAAATTTCTGTTTTAAGTCACCCAGGTGTGGTACTTTGTTAGGGCACCCTATGCACCTGATATAATGAGAAACAAATGGCCTCTGCCCCCTCCTCCCAAATCCTTCTGCAGATGCAGCCATCTATAGTTACTTTACAGTTCTTTTTCTTACTTGAGTATTTAATTGTCACAGTCTCTAATATTTTATCAAATGATGGGACAGGAGGGGAGAAAGTCATTACAAAATGAAAATCCACAACATACCATTGTAACATATATATAATTGGGAGATCTCAGGTGCTAAATAATTAACTAAATGCAACAATTACTATTTTTAGCTCAGGAGCTAGTCACTTGGACACATAACATGCCTCAATGAGAAAGTGAAGACCAAAAGGAAGCAGGGTGAGCCACATGGACACCTGGGGAAGGACACTTCAGGTGGAGGGAACAGCAGATGCAAAGGCCCTGAAACAGGAATGTGGTTGGCACGTTTGAAGAAGAACAAGCAGGCAGCATGGGGGACAGTCATAGGGGATGTGAGGGTAGAGAGGGTGGAAGGGTCCAGATCATGCAGGGCTTTGTAAGTTCTGGTAAGGACTTTTGCTTTAGCTATTGGAGAGTTCTCTGGAGGACTGACATGATTTGCTTTACATGATAAAAACACTGTGGCTGCTGGGTTGAGAGAAGGCTGTAGGGGAAGTGAGGGCAGAAACACAGAAACCAGCAAGGAGGCCACTGCAAAACATCCCGGCGGGTCATTGTGATGGCTTGGACCAGGGTGGTGGCACTGGGGGTGGGGAAAAGTAGTCACACTCAGGACCTATTTTGGAGGCAGATGACAGGGAGGGCCGATGGATTTGGTGTGGCAGGAGGGAAAGAGGGGCATCAAGGATGATTCCACGGTTTTTGT